CCCCGGCCCCCAATGACTTTAAATATAAAAATCTAGGGCCAGGGATTTAGCTCAGTGGTTCTGCTGCCTGCGTTGTGGGTGCAAGGACCCGAGTTTGATCCTTGGAACCAAAAAAAAAAAAATCTATCTATCTATCTATCTATCTATCTATCTATCTATTTATATAAAGACAAAAATTCCAAGTCCTATAAAACCCTGTATACCAAACAGTGTAAGTGCTGAAAATGAGAAACATTTAAGAAATCTCTATTAAGAACCTTGGATAGCTGGGGATTTAGCTCAGTGGTTCCTGCCTGCCTCCCAAGCACAAAGTCCTGAGTTCAATACATGGTACAAAAAAAATTTCCTAGCAAGCCATTTTCTGAGTTACCAAACACCTTATATGCAAGAATTGACTCCATAGGGCTGGGAATTTAGCTCAGTGGTTCCACTGCCTGCCTCACAAGCCCAAGGTCCTGAGTTTGATCCCAGGTACCAAAAAATAAAAAATAAAAATAAATTAAAAAATAAAAATTGACTCCATAAATTCACTTAACAAGTTGGAAATTTGAAACCTGCAAGAAAAGGGAGTGGGAATCCCTAATCCTAACATTTATAATTTACATTTTCTGTTTTGTTTTGAGACAGGATCTTACTATGCAGTTCAGGCTGGCCTTGAACACACTAGGTATCCCAGGTTGACCTTGAACCAATCCACCTGTCTTAGCCTCCCAAGTGCTGGGATTACAGGTGTGGCCACCACGCCCAGTCATCATGTTGGAATTACTAAAGGGATATAACATGCACACTAAAAAATTTTGAGGGCTGGGGATTTAGCTCAGTGGCACCTCACCTGCCTTGCAAGCTCAAGGTCCTGAGTTCAATCCCTGGTAGAAAAAAGAAAACATCTTGCTCACAGAAGGCACAACTGTAAAAGGGCTAGTCTTTTTAGTTCTTTGTTTCTATTAAAAAGACTATTCCTTTTACAGTTTGTGCATCCTTTAGTTATGCAACCTTCAGTTATAAAAGAAAAGGCATTATAAAACTTACAATTCAGTTCTTTCATTCTTCATCTAACACAGAAAAAGAAAAGACCTGGGTGTGGCAGTGCATGCCTGTAATATCAGCACTTGGGAGGCTGAGGCAGGAGGACCACTATGAGTTCAAGGACAGCCTGAGCTACATACTGATACCCTGTCTCAAAAAAAAGAGACACCTTCAACAAAAAGAGGTATGAACTATTCAACACTGTTCCAGAAAAGCATTTGTTCTACAGGGACCCAATGCTAAAGAAGTAATACCTCTACAATTACAAGCCATTTATACATAGGATGACCTGCTACCTTTTTAAGAATAAAGGTCATGAGCAGTCATATTATCAAGGCTTTCAGGTTAAGGATACTACTCTATGACAATTCTAAACTCTCACAAAAAAGACCCTAGTCCTCAAAACTGCATACTCTTTTTTTTTTTTTTTGCAGTTCCAGAGATTGAACTCAGGACCTTGTGCTTGCCAGGCAGGCAAGGCACCACTGAGCTACATCCTCAGCCCAAAACCACATATTCTTAAAAAAAAATCCCAACTACTCCAACCCAATGTTACATATTACAATTCTACCCATCAGGCTGCCAAGAGATCTGTCTCCTAGAGTATCCTCTGCAAGTGCCTTGTAAGACCCTGCCTTACCTTTTCATCAGATAATCCAGGACACTATCAATTTTAAGCCTCATCCTTATGTTCTGCACCATAAGAAAAATGCCTATCTGACAGGATTTTTCTAGCCAGGCATGGTGGTGCACACCTGTAATCCCAGCAGTCTGGAGGCTGAGGCAGGAGGATTGCTATTTTTCTATCATAGAATTTAAGATGCATAGTTCCAATTTTTTGAGACAGGGTCTCACTATGTAGTAGTCCAGGCTAGCCATGAACTCACTCAGGTAGGCCAGGCTGGCTTCGAACTCACAGCAATCCTCCTGCCTCAGCCTCCAGAGTGCTGGGATTACAGGCATGCACCACCACACCTGCCTTAGAGATTTAAAAATCTGATAAAATGTGCATTTTATGATCCATCAGTAAGACCTTTACAAGAAGGTATGCCTAAAACCAAATATCCATCCTCTTTAGTTAACATGACAAAAGATTACGAATTCCTTACAGAAGCCAGGTGTGGTGGTGCACACACACCTGTAATCCTAGCTAGTCTGGAGAGGCTGAAGCAGGAGAATTTCAAACTGGAGGACAGTTTGGGCAACTCTGAGATGTCTCAAGATTATCTTTTTTTTTTTTTTTTTTTTTGTGGCACCTGGGATCGAACTCAGGACCTTGTGCTTGCAAGGCAGGCGGCAGAACCACTGAGCTAAATCCCTGGCCCAAGATTATCTTTTTTAAAAAAGAACTCCGCACAGGTGCAGTAGGGCACACTTGTAATCCCAGGACTTGGGGAGGCTGATGCAGGAGAATCTCCGGGTTTGAAGGCAGCCTTGGCTACAGTCAGTTCAAGGCCAGCCTGACATAAGCGAAACCCTGTTTTGAAAAAATTTCCCTACAAAATAGAAAACATGCTGGACAACAGCATAGATCAGATAATTTGAGTCTGAAGAATATCAAAATGTTACTAATTATCAAAGCTGAGTGATAAATACTAAGTCCACAAGTGCTTAGGCTGTTCTACCTCTGCTTATATTTGAGATATCTCTTTATAAAAGCATCAGAAATGTTTTTTTTCCTCTTGATCTTAGCCAAAAGGCTGAGAAGCGATAGAAATGTTTTTTTTAAATTGAGGGTTGGTTCCAATTTTACTTCATATCATCAGAGCTGAGTTGATATTGATATGAAGTTACTAAGTATCATTAAGGCTAATTTCCAATCAGCAACAGGGAATAATATACCTCCCACAATCCTTTTAAAAAATAAATGAGGGCTGGGATATAACTCAGGCATAGAGTGCTTGCCTAACATGCTCACAACTGTTGTTTCAATCCCAAGCACTGCAAGCATGAAAACAAAGGGGGCACTTAACTGCTTTATACACATTATAAAATGTGAGGCACACTGCAAAGTCGGATTTTATTATTAATGCCATACTAGAAAAATATAATAGGGGGTCAAAATCTTGCAATGGCTAATTTTAGAACATTAAAAAGTAAAAACACTAATTTCTGCCATTTTATTAATTTACTCCAAATTGATCTGAAGTGAAAATTTGGGGCTGTTATATAAAATTACTTTAACTAGAGCCTGGGATTTAGCTCAGTGGTTCTGCCGCCTGCCTCACAAGCGCAAGGTCCCTGATTCGATCCCCAGAACCCCCCCCCAAAAATTACTTTATTAAATTGTATACAACAGTAAATGTGAAAAATTTTACAGTATACAGACAATATAGATTTCAAATGCATTACAGTACAGTAAAAAATAATTATTGGAATTAAAAGAGTAGATGTAAGAGTTTGTTGTCAGATATTATCTGTGATAGTCCTCATCAGAAACAAGACTTCTTACTTTGTAGCAGAGCTTTCAAAAAAAAATTTAAGTTGTTTTTTTTTTTTTTTTGGGTACCAGGGATTGAACTCGGGTCTTTGCACTTGCGTAGCAGGCGGCGAAACCACTGAGCTAAATCCCCAGCCCAAGTTTTTTTAACATAATAGTTTCAACTATCTTTTTTGGGGGGGCGGGGGGGGCTGGGGATTGAACTCAGGTACTTGCGCTTGTGAAGCAGGCAGCGTAACCACTGAGCTAAATCCCCAGCCCAGTTTCAACTAACTTTGAAAATAACAGTAGTGCTTCCTATTGTATATTCTTTGATAGTTCTGTTTGGGGTATGTCCTTAATTTAATTCTTCCTACCAAAACAAACCACTCATTTAGACATCTGTAGCTCAGAGAACTCACTGCTTCTAAAAAGGGAAGTCGGTTTTAAAAAAAAAAAAAGGCAAGCTGGAAATCTTTCTTTCTTTTTTTTTTTTTGTGAGACAGGTTCTCACTATGTAGCTCAGGCTGGCCTTGAACTCATATGTATGTATCCCAGGCTGGCTTCAAAATCATGGCAATCCTCCTGCCTCAGCCTCCCTAGTGCTGAGATTACAGGCCTGCACCACCACACCTGGAGGAAATCTTTTAATTTCAGTCAGTTTTGGCAAATGAGAAATGAAGCCAGCTCCCACTACTACCTACCAAGGGCATCTGTGAGAGGAAGTGTTACCGCTTTCATAATCGTTTCAACCTAATTCAAAAGTCAAGGAATTAAATTCTTTGTTCCATTAAGTAAGTCCATCATCATGTGTTTTACCTTCTAAATTAAAATGATACTCTAAGATCAATCACCATACCTGCAGACAGAATCTAAAGACTAATGGTATTAGGAGTTAACAAGACAAATTAATTTTATGTAACAATACTACTCTCAAATTAACTGTATATGTTTAAGTATTTACTAATATATTTTTCTCACAGATTCCACAATAGAAATGTGCATAAATCTTAACAAAAATTATGCCATTCTGGGTGAAAGTCTCCATTTAACAGTAAAATTTAAAAAATCAATTACACAGCCAGGCATGGTGGCACACACCTGTTATCCCAGCACTAGAGAAGCTGAGGCAAAAGGATCACCACGTGTTCAAGGCCAGCCTGGACTACCTAGTGATTTCAAAGCCAGCCTGAACTACCTAGTGAGATCCTGTCTCAAAGAACAAAAACAAACAAACAAAAAACAAATTATATTATTTCTGAACTAAAAGTGTAAATGTTATACAATATCCTAATTATCTCTGTATTCCAAATAAGTGCTTTTAAAAAACTGCTCTGAAGAAAAAAATATAAAACAAAGTATCAACCAATTCTGTGAGGAAACCCATTACTATAGATTTAATCATCAATCTGAATAAACAAATGTAAGGGATATAAATCTCTCCTCTGGCAACTGTTTAAAATATTCCCTAATAATCTGACAAAAAAATTAAGACTTTGTAAATAGTTCATCTTTGTAGTATACTAGTAATCAAATAGATGTGATGAATACGTACAGTTCCAGAAAGGACATCATGGGGGCAACAGTTGAGAAGGTGGCTCTTGCATACTCTGTCATCGCTGAATTTGATTCGCTGACGAGTAGTGTCTCCTGTAATATAGAAAAGTTAATAACATTCAAGGTTAGACAACTGGAAAGTATTTATTTTCTGAGACCCCTAGTATCACTAGCTTTTTATGTGTGGCTATATACACACACACATTTATAAATCAGGTCAAGAGGGATTAGCTTTTTTATATCATCCTATAGAAAAACTACTTTAGACAACATGCAGTTGCAGTACATGTACTGCACATGTAATTCAAACAAAGTGGGAAGCAATGCATTCTGTTAAATAGAATACTTCAGGAAAGCATAGGATTTTAGAGCAGGAATGGACCTTAAAAGTTTATCAAGTCCAACTCCTTCATATTGCAGATGAGGAAAACTGAGGCCCCAAGAGGTTAAGCGATTGCAGCAGACCCACTAAGAGAGTTTCTACGAATACAATGTTCCCTTCTTGACAGTAAGCATTGATTTATTTTGTAATTATTTACATTAATTGAAAAACATAAAAAGTAATCTTGCAAACATTGCATACACACTGCGAATCCCCACTGAACCCCAGACGCCATTTCTTCCACTATTTTGTTCCAGCTGAAGTGTCTCCCTTTTGCTGCTGGGAGGAGTTAGAGAGGGTAGAATAACGCGTTTAAGAGCGTACAAACCTGGAAGAAGGACTTACACACCAGTCAAACAAAGGCACATTGCCTAAATGAAATGTTAACTTTCTAATGCCTCCAAAGGCTCCACAGCTCTAAGTTTTATGTGGTCTGTGCTATATATCGCCAACTGGGTAAATTTACATTTATTCTGTCTTCATATAAAACAAAATACCTCCTAAGCAACAGAAGCATCCAACCTGCTTATCAAATATGGTAGATTCTTATAAGAAAAAGAAAGGTAATTAGCTCTAATAACAAAATATAGATGTTACAATTTTTTGTTTAGCATCTCTGGAAAGAAACAAAAGAAAAAACTCTTATGGATGTTTCCTCTTTCTATATAAAATGGTAAGCCCTAAAAAATGGTGTTTTAGCCTTAAATTGGTATCATCATTAATGGATGAAAACCTACTGGTGAATTACTGAAGCAAAAACTATTGGTACCAAGAGATTATAAATACCTCTATAGAGGACAATGCCTGGAGCACTCCAAAAACTTTCATCTAAAAAGTGATTCAATCGCCCAAATTCATATGTTTTTGTGAATAATAAAAAAGGTTAAAACTTTACCCTTCAAATATTCTTATACCGAAGAGCTTAAATTCAATGAAAACAGTATGGGATAAAATTTTGTTCAAATTGTTTTAACCTGGTTAAAAATATTTAAAGAACATTCAAATTTGCCACCAGGGTATACACATAAAAAAATAATAACAGCTAAAATGATAGCTTCAGAGCAGTTCAACAATAGGTTTTCTAGAGGCTAGTGTCTACTAGGTTATTTCTGACACAATTTGGAATAATCCATTTAGTGGTCACGCCTGCTACTATAATAAAGGTTATTTTGATGGTCCCTTTTTTCCTTTTAAACACAACTGCTTTTGTTCCACATTCATTAACACATCTGAAAAGTTAGTGATAACTCACGGCTCGGCGAATGCGGGGCCTTTCTGACACTCCCTTGCAGACTGAAGTAGGCAGGCATAGATACATTGAACCTTTACAAATAAAACAAGGGGCCAGATTGTTCAGTTTGTATAGAATAGACTCTGCCAGCAATTTCAATACAGCATCTAGAAGAACATGTTGACTGAAGATTCTCGTATATGAAAACAAAAGTGAACAAAATCAAAGTGTATTTTTTAAAATAATATTTATTTAACAAATGTAACCCTAGAGTAGATACCTAACCATAAGTAAAAGTCCAGGGCCAACTGAGGTTTAAAAGAAAAAGTCTCTTTAAAAAGTGTATTTATCAAGACTAGTGAATAAGTACCTCAACCTCATGTTAGGATGGCACTGTGATGAGCTCACACCGCAATGTCCAAGCTACACAGTAGGAGCTTTCTGTTTCCTATCATTTAAGAAAAAAATCTTTTTTGTTTTAAATCTGTACCCTAATTAAGGACTTCAAAAGTGATAAATTTTTTAAATTAGGAAAACAAAAAAACTTACATATCCAGGTGTCTACTTGCTACAAGTAGCTAAGCTCTTTGACAGCACAACAACAGTGCTTGGTTAAACTTATGACTCAAGGGTATAAGCTAGGCCTTAGAATAAAATGAAGATTCACAAAGTTTTACTAATCAAACATTTCCTCTAGTAGGGTGACTTTTTGCCTAAGAAATCACATTAAATCTAATACTAAGGTATATGTGCCCTGAAGACACTCTATTAGGTAAAATATGAACATTGCAACTAAGAATATTGCAAAGAGTAGCCCTGATAAGGTTTTTAAGAAAACCAAGTCTACAAATCAAAAAGCATTTTAAAATAACTCCTCACTGCAAGTGAATGGCTGCTCCATAAACATCTCTTAACTGTAGCAAATATAATAAAAGGGCCACTGAATATCAGCCATTACAGAAATCTTTAAAACAATGAAATAATAGGGCCGGGGATTTGGTTCAGTGGTTTCGCCACTTGCAGGCAAGCTCAAGGACCCGAGTTCGATCCTAGGTACCAAAAAAAACCCAAACACACAAAAAAACAATGAAATAATAATAAACCTAATAATTTGAGATACAGAAATACTCCACAAGGGACTTAGTGAAGATCTGTTACCTGATATGTTAATAGTGCTATTTAAAGGACTTTAAGGTTACTATTTTAATACAATTTGGCTACAATGAAGTATTTAATAAATTTACACAGGTTTATGCCTTGAAAGTATACTTTGGTTAAACTAACATAGAATTTTAAAATAAAAATACTGGTAATTTTGTTTTCTGTCAAAATATCTGGCCCAAACCATGTTTTTCAAAAGAAACTAGGTAAAACAGTGCCCTTTAAAAAAAAAAAAGAAAAAAAAAAGACTACAAACAGGGAACATATATGAAAGAAAGTTCCTTATGATACAAGGAAATATCTTAAGAACTCAATCCATTTCATTTTTTGGCTATTTTGGACATCAGTCACATAAAAATAACCTAAATTGTGTGAGTCACTCGCCTAAAAATTTCTTCTCATATAGAATCTAAAAAAATAAACTACAGGGGGAAAATTGCCCTGTCACACTGATGTTGGCTCCAAATCACAGAATCCAACCTATCAGTGATTCTATTCTCTGTACCAGGCAATGTAGTTTCCAGAGCATAAGACAAGCACTGCTCCACCCTCAAGGAGCTCATACTTCGGTAGAGAAACAGGATACATCATTAACAAGTAGGAACACGAGGTAGCATGATCCAAGTGCCAAATGGGTGTTTTGAATAGATAGTACTTAAAAGAATTTTAAGACTAGAAATACCATCAATGACTGGAGAGGTTGGGAAAAGCTTCATGGAGTAAGTAGAAGCCAAAATTAAAGACAGATAGGACTTAGAGCAAAGGAAAAGAGAAGAAAGAATATTCTACACAGAAGTAATATCTCTGACAAAGCTGACCGGCAAGAAGGTTTGGGGAACAGTAACTAAATCATATTTGCCTTTGGCAAATGGCTTCATGTAGATAAACAGAAAGTTGAGGCCAGAATAATATTTTGGGGGTAAAATTTAATGTCTTTATTTTTCAATCCACATTTTTAGTATATAGACAAAGTTTAAAAAAAAATTTAATGGAGCACAGACTCCACTGAATAACTCCAAGTTATTCAAGTCAACAACAAAAAAATTGTCCTACCTACATAAACATGCAGGACTCTGTCCTATAACCTCCACAATAATTAACTAAGTTTTGCAGATACTGCAACGTCAAGTTTTTAGAATTAGAAATTTGATTTAGAACTTTGGTAGGCGAAGAGCCTTTTATTTGAATAGAAGCACCAAAAGTTCTATTAATCTATTAATACTTCTTATCCAAGCAAGTACCCTCGAAGTCACAACTCCCTTATCTCTCTCTTTTGTTCAACCCTTCATGGATATCATGAATTATATCCTTTATCAGAGATCATCTGAGTCACAGGTATACAATAAAAGCTGGACATTCTTAAGTGTTTCACCAATGTAATAGAGCCTAAGGTGGTATTTGAGTCGGCAGCTTCACTCGGGGATATGATCAGGCCAATCTAAAAAGAGGGCTCCTGCCCAAACTATTTAATACCGCTATTCTCAAAATCCCCTTCAATCTCTAGGGAGGGAAAAATAACCCCATTATAAGTAGTAACACTGCCTTTTATGCCCCTGCCTTTTCTGAAACTGACTTAAATGTTTAGGAGTTAACACTTAAAACCTTAACCTAGGTGGTTATCTCACATTGTACATGGTGCATGTTATTTTCCAGATACCCACCCCCCTCCCTATTACCACCCACCCTCTCCCACCCATACAAACAATAAACCAAATTAACTTTCATAGATTTAGGTGCTATTTTAAAAACATCAAAATTTTACTTTACCCATTCTCTCCGATGCTCCCTGTATTTTTTTAAGCTGTGAGTGGATGACCATGCTATGTGATCAACAACTGTGAAGGCTAAGCAAAAGTGAACTGAGTTTAGTATTATAATTTCAAAAGCTTAAAGTTTGTAATATTTGACATATTTAATATATGCAGAATCCTATCTTACTGCATGTTATCAGGCATTAATGGCAAGCAATTTATAAAGGCAATCAATATTTCTTTTGTACAGAATTTACAGCTTAGCTTAGGGAAAACAAAGAGGGAGGAGAAATTCAACAGCACACAAAGCAATGGAAGCATTCCCATGTCTATAAATGAGGCCAGGGAGGGAGTGGCTCCCACATTTTCCAGTGTGACAACCAAATCATTCCCCAAAGATACACATTTTAGGGGCCACATGTCACAGCTGGCTTGAGACAGAGCAGGTTCTTTTCCTTTGAAATAAGATCCATATGCCTTCAATGATAGGAAAGCTGACCCTAAAATGAGAAGTACAGAATTGAAAGCTTAAAGCTCTGGTCTCTCTGTCCCCTTCATACCCCAAATGTACAGAAATGTTCCTCTCTACCAATTCTTCCAATATATGGGAACTACATAAAGATCCATGGCCAGTTTCTAGTCTACTCCAGGGCTCCAAGACCTTAAGAAATGCACAAGTAAACCCTTGTGTCTTCATGTGGATCCAGGGTAAAAGCACGTGATTACTGCTGCTTGGTGACTACTATACTAAGAAACCAGCCTGATCATCTTTACACTTTCCTCACACTTCTTCATCAACTGTACTAACTTTAATTACACTAATTGTACCATCTTTGTCGTTCCTTTAGCCTCCACCTATATAAACCTTTTGTAAGTAACCTTTTAAGAAAAAAATAAACTTACTACTCCTTCACTCCCTGCTGCCTTGTTAATAAATGTACACAGACTAACTCACTGCATATTTCAGCAGTTCAATATTTAGGGTTGAAAAAGGACTCTCTACTGTCTCTTAATACAGCCACAGATGCTTTGAAAACATTTATGGTTTGATACCTTATACTTCTCAGACATACTTATTATAAGAGTGATGACAGTCTGCCTTGCAACTGTAACATCAAGTCATTTTTTTCTAAATTTATAGTCATGCTGAGTAATAGCAGCTTTCCTGACCTACAGAAAATGAAAACATAAAGATACTACACAATTCAGAAAGGCTATCCCTCTTAATCCTTTGGTTCACATGGTCTTATAGGTTTACAATCATAAAGAGGTGCTAATATTACCCCTGCCATAATCCCCATGATAAGCTCAACATTTTAAAATACTCAGTGTAGAAAAACATTCCAAAAGAAGTTCATCCTTGGGTCGGGGATTTAGCTCAGTGGTTTCGGCATCTGCTGCGCAAGCACAAGGACTCGAGTTCGATCCCCGGTACCAAAAAAAAAAAAAAAAAGAAGTAGTTCATCCTTGTTGGATCTGATCATATATTAATGTCTTAAAGTTAAAAAAAAAATCCAGCCTTCATGTCTATGAAAATCCATGTAAGAAAATTACAAAAGAATGAGACCAGGAAATAGCCTTGGTGATAAGAGAAAAGGTGTATAGGTCTTTAAGAGTTAACAGTGGGGCCTGGGATTTAGCTCAGTGGTTCCAGCGCCTGCCTCAAAAGCGCAAGGTTCGGAGTTCAATCCTTGGTACCAAAAAAAAGAGTTAACAGAGTAGTCATGATGGGGATGTGAGAACAGAAACACTCAAGTAGCTACTTTCTAAGGCTCTACTAAACCCACCACAACCCTATCTTCTCTCACTACACAAGCAGAGTCTCTGCATCTGGCAGGAATCCCCCATCATATTCTGGGGGGGACTTTCTTCTCTTAGATTTAAGAGGACCGCTAGAAAAGCTGAATATTTAAATTTAAAAGCTTATATTGAATTTAAGATGTATGTCATAAAAAATTGCAGCTTGCTAAATTTTATATTTTGATACTTGCAGAACTGCAATTCTGATAAGTTATACTCGTACTCTGGATATCTGGTATCTTCTATCATCCAGAATTTTACCACATACAAAATTATTTTTGGTTTTTTTTTTTTTTTTGGTACTGGGGATCGAACTCCAGTCCTGCGCTTGCAAGGCAGGCGGCAGAACCACTGAGCTAAATCCCCAGGCCTCCACATACAAAATTAGAGGTAATGAAAGCTATCTTTGGCTATAAAGAACTGAAAAGAATCAAAGAAAAAATGACTGGCTGACTTATCTATTAAATTATCTATTGAAAAAGACTGGTGGTATCAGCTATTGACAGTGATAAAAAAGCCAAGGAAAGTCTCCTCAAATCTAAAACCAACAAAGAAAAAAATAAAAGAAAAGAGAACAGACAACCTAATGATAAAGTTAAAATGAAAAACAGATTACCATGAAGGAGATGTTAGCCTTAAAAACTAAAACAACACAGCAGAAATATTGCAGTACACTGAATACACAGTGAATTCACCAGAAAGGTTGTCTCTAGGGAAGGACTGAGACAGTGAAGGGAAATATAAGGCACTTTATTTGTAATTCTTTACTCACTTTTTAAAATCTGTCAAAAATATGCAAAATAACATCTGTTCATTTAAAGAGTTTGATAGTCCTTCGGACACTTTTTCTTTTTCTGTGGTACTAAGGATTAAACCCACAGCCTCATACATGCTAAGCAAGTAATCTATCACTGAACTACATTCCCAGCCTTTTTTCTTTTTCTCTTCTTTCTTTTGAGGCAGGGTCTCACTAAGTTGCCCAGACTGGCCTCAAACTTGCAATCCTCTTGCCTCAGTTTCCCAAGTAGGTAGAATTGTAGGCCAGCACCATCACACCAGCCAGGCTCCTTCATAGTTTTTTTAATATTCTGTTTGGAATTCAGGTACTTATTAGCAGTATCACAGGATGTGTTTAAAAATAAACATAACTGCGTAGATCTCCATTCCCACATTTTTGGTCCCTCTAGGATTATTTTATTACAGAGTCAAAGGAGGATAGAGCATGTCTGTAATGTCTAAGAAACGGAATGACAAAAAGAACCTTATCAATCTGGGACTACTAAGGAAAGAAAAATTCTACTGCTATCAATAATTACTAGACCTTAAGACACATCAACCAATACATACACAGAACACCACTGGGGGAAGTATTTCTTCTATTGCCTTGGGCAAATTAAATTGTAACAGGAATTTTTCATACTACTAATAAATGGTTTCTAGACTGAGGTTAGGGTTAGGGTCAGCTTTCCCAGGAATCATCCCCTGCTCTGTTTCCCCGTCCATAATGCAGAATCATAGCCTCTCTCTCTCAGTTTCTTGCTTCGGTTTTTGAAACAGGGTCTCACTATGTAGTTAAGGCTGTCCTTGAACTCACTATGCAGCCCAGGCTGGCCTCGAACTCGCAGCAAGCCTCCTGCCTCAGCCTCCCAAGTGCTGGGATTACAGGCATGCACCACTATGCCCAGCTCCTCTCCCTTAGTTTCTATTCCAGAATTCTCTTCACATTCTCATGTGGAACTGGTTAGTGAAATTCCATATCACCACGGACTAAAAACACTAAAGGAAAGGTAAGAAATCAAGCTAAATAAGGTAATCTCATACTGATCTAGAAGGAGATCTCAGAGATCTCTTGAAATCTCTCTGTCTCAGTCTGTATTTCTGACTAGTCATTTCAACTTAGAGGTTTGGGTATATACAGCTCAGTAACTTTCTTCTCATACTAATACCTACTACAACAGGTTTTCCAAAGTATGGATTTACACAAAAAAGGACAAGGATTATGTGATTTTATCAACAAGACATTTTAAACACTACTATTTATCATGATTATATCACAAAAGAAGTTTCTATCTAGCAATATATTTAATATGTTTCACAAACAAATCCACAGTAAACATTTAATTGACAAGAGTCTAGCCATATCTTTATTACACCATTTTGCTTCAATTGTATTTGTTTCTGTGGTGATATAATCTTCATTTCAAAATTAACTTAAATCTTCAGAAAGTGAATTAACAAAAGATATTAAAGAAATAGAAAACAGTAAAAATAGTAAAGATAATGTGACTAACATTTGGGAAACATTCATTCTACAAGAGTTTCTCAAAATTTTAATGGGCATCAGAATCACTTAAAAGACTTATTTTTTTGAGACAGTGTCTCACTATGTAGTTCAGGCTCTCCTGAGCGCTGGGATTACAGGCATATGCCTTCAACCCCACCTGGAAGACTTTTTGAAACACTGACTGCTGGCCTCCATCTACAAAACTTTTGATTCAGTAAGTGGGCCCTAAGAATTTGCATTGCTAATTAATAGATGATACTGAGGTTGCTGGTCTGGGGACCTTAGTGACCCAGAACAGTGATTCACAAGGTCTTATTTTTGGGGGGTATTGGGGACCTTGTGGTTGCCAGGCAGGCACTGTACTGCTGAGCTACATCCCCAGCCCCACAAGCTCTTTTTTAAAAGAACAAGATAGTAAACATCTCAGGCTTCCATATATATTTTTTTTGGTACCAGGGATTGAACTCTGGTCCTTGCACTTGTGTAGCAGGCAGCAAAACCACTGAGCTAAATCCCTGGCCCCTCTTGGACAACTATTCAACTCTGCTTTGTGTAAGGTAAAGCAACCATGGCAGTAGGTATATTAGTGGGCATGATCATGTTTCAATAGAACTTTATTTACAAAAAGCAGGTAGACAGAGAACCAGCCCCTTATCTAAAATATACCCTTGGGCCGAGGACTTAGCTCAGTGGTTCTGTCCCCCTGCCTCTCAAGCACAATGACCAGAGTTCGATCCCCCGTACCAAAAAATGATAAAATAAAATATACCCTCAAGCAACTGAAACGGGTATATTATGTAACTTAACAGTAGCACAGAACATAATACAGAACTAGATACTGTATACTGTACATACTACCACTACTTCTAATGAAACTACTTCTAATGAAAAGCAAAGCTTTGGAAGTTTAACTCTGAAAGAGCTAATTGATGTTTGCAGAAATCTGAGATCTCAACAAAATAAAAACAAATCAATTTACCATGTTCAGAAGATATGACAATAGATTCAGCAAAGGCAACTGGTTAACAATTCTTTTCATGTTGAGTCAAATAGATCAAACATCAGTTGTACAAAGTTCCCAAATAAATTAGAACATATGGATCAATACTGAGTGTTTCAAAGAAAAAGAAATTTTAAAGACTTCTTTTTCTGGCCAATGTTAAATAGCAAAATATGACATTTATTCAGTTGGCTGAATTACACCATTTTAAAGTTCTGTCATAGTTTTTCAGTTAAAACAAAAACACAGGCCACTGAGCTCTCTCTTGCCAGGGCCTGCTCTCACCCTGCAAACTGTACTTCTTTTCCTATTTTTACTTGGCCCAAACTCACTCTGCAGAGCCTGTTTCTTTTCCTAACTTTGATAAAACTTTGTTACTGTTAAAGAACAAAAACATGGGGCCTGGGGATTTAGCTCCATGATGCCGCTGCCTGCCTGCCTGCCTGCCTCCCAAGTACAAGGACCTGAGTTCGATCCCCAGTACCAAAAAAAGGAAGCTATAGACTATTTCAACTTTTATAAACTACTTCTCTCTATATCTTCAATAATCTTACATTGATTAAATGATCTATTTTGACCTTGTCTTCAATTTTTACCCCAGCAGCTGCCAGTGCATGAAAATTTTAATCAAAAGGGAACAGAATTTTTATTCAAGTGCTAAAACAACAAGGTTCCGGTGAAAAACTTACCCCTACACTGCCTCATTCCTTCTCCAGCAACATATTACAACTTCCTTCATCATTTCAGTCTACAATTTCTTAGTAGACTAAGTTGGACAGAACTGGGTTATTTCCTCAAAAGCTATACTAACAGCACTGACAACAGTGAACTGTAAGAATTCAGTCTACTTCGGGCCAGGGATTTAGCTCAGTGGTTTTGCAGCCTGCTGCACAAGCACGAGGACCCGAGTTCGATCCCTGGTGCCAAAAAAAAAAAAAGAATTCAGTCTACTTCAAGCACCTTTCTCAATTCCCACTCCTAAAAGAGTATGTTTCAACTTACCTGGTCTTGCCCACACTTACCTACCTTCAGTTTCAAGCCATCTGCCTCAACTTCAAGGCTTTTATGAAACACTTGTTACTGAACAATGACTCACTAACCCTGACCTAGGATACCTACTTGCCTCTGAACTCCTTGTCTTGAACATGCAGTTCATTAAATATTCTACCTAAACTAGATCATCAAAGCATTACTTGCTGCTTATAGAGCTTCTGCAGAAATAGACAAAATAATTTTTCTTTGGTTTGGTTTTGTGATGCTGAGGATCAAACCCAGGGCCTCACACGTGCTAGGCAAGTGCTCTGCCACCAATCTTTGTATCTACAGACCTTTTCTTAATTCTTTTCT